TTCTTTAAACTGTTGAAATCATTTCACTTTCTGATGTTGAGCCACTGAACTTTGTCAAGGACTTTGCTGCAAGAACTTTCTCTTCTGAGTCTTCAGTAGCTATGGCTGTAGCATCTGTAGGAACAGCTGCCAGGCTGCATCTTTACAGGGCTTGCTTTCCAGGATAATGGCTCAGGGTACTGAGCTAAAAGCCCTGCTGTTCCCAAGGCTCTTGGCTTCAGGTTCCTGGGTTATCCCCATTGGGGTGTGAGGGGAAATGATGTGGTGGTGGTTTAACTTGCTGGCACCTGCTGCCTCCTGTCTCTCCCTCTGGGGGCCTTGCTTCAGTGAGTGTGGTTTGCCTTCCCTTGGATGGCAGTTGGTGGAGATGACTGACCTCTTCTCCATGGGATTTGCTTCTCCACATGATGGCTGAGCTTGAAACAGAATCAGGGGTCATGGCAGTGTTGCCACTTCCAAGGCTCCTGTGTTTCTCTGCCTGTTGAAGATAGTTTGTTAGCAGTTACTGCTGGTGATGAGGAGGAAGATGAGACCTTCTTCACAATGATTTCTGTGCTCAAAGATGGTTGTAGGGGTTAGGCAGGAAGTAGATCTGGTTTAGGAGGCACTGCTTTCCCCAAGACTCTTGAGTCAGGGTCCAAAGCTATCTCTCTCAGGGTCTGAGCGGAATTGGTGGTCAAAGTGATGGTTTGACTTCCCTGGCAAATGCTGCATTTTGTCTTTTCCCGGTCCTGCATGTAGCAGTTGGATGGCAGTTGATGAAAATGATTGGTACCTTCCTTCTCAGTAATACTCTGTGTTCAATACGCTGTGTTAAGCCCTGGTGATTCAAATTTTAAAAAGATAGCTGCTGTCGTCCAGAAACTTATAATCTAATAAGGGAAGGCAGCACATAAAAGAAGGTTGAAAAATTGCTCTGCTCTCTAGTCAGAGGAAGAGGTGTTGAGTTTTAAAACTCAACCAGTCTGTGTGATGATGAAATTTCGGGTGATGGGAAGGAGTGATGTTCGTGGAATCAAAACCAAGCAGAGCAGCTGATGTGAAATCAAGAGTTGGCTGGGACATTCTAAGCCCTCTATAAAGCCCTCCTCCTTTGGGAGGAGTTTATTATTCTGTCTTCAGTTAGAGGGGAGAGGCAACTGAGGAGGTCTTGAGGAGGTCTTTATAGGTGTGGCTTCCACAGATGGTAGCTATGAGGGCTAGACTGACTGCAGGACTGCCAAAACTCCTGTGGAAATCATACTTTATCAGCCATCAGTCTCTGGAGTCATGATTGGTCATTGCATTGATCAAAGAAGTTTCAGGCTGTCTTTTTTTTGCAGGGTTGTAGTTACTGTATAAATTGTTTTCCTGCATCTGCTTATTTTGTTTTGTATCAGTTTGTATACATCTTTTGTTTCCCTAAATCATTACAACCTTTCATCCTTCTTATGATAAAATCATTCCATTTTATCCATATATCATAATTTGTTGAGTTGCTTCCCATTTGAATGACACCCCTTTATTTTCCCGTTCTTTGCTGTAAAAGTGCTGTGATGAATGCTTTTGTGCGTAGCAGGTTTTTTTCTTCTTTCTTTTATTTGTATATATACCTACTCGTGGTATTGCTACGTCACAGAATATGCTTATTTTAGTGATAGGGTGGAATGACAGTTCCAAGTTACTTTCCAGAGTGTCTGGATTAATTCTATGAGGTTTTATTATTAGCCTCTCCTCAGACATGCTCCAGCAATTGCCATTTTCCTTTTTTTTTTTTTCATCATGTTTGCCAGGTCTCTTGATATGGGGGAACCTCAGAGTGGTTGTGATTTGCATTTTTCTTACAATTAGTGTTTTGGAGATTTTTTTTTATATAGTTGTTGTAAGCTTTTCTCTCATTTTTTGAGAACTGCCTGCTTATATTCTTTAACTTTATTTATTGGATAATAGATCTTATCTTTATGTTTGTATAGATTCGTAATATATTTCAGATACCAGACCTTTATCAGAGAAATTTTCTGCAATGATTTTTTTCCAAGTTTACTGCTTCCTTTTTAAGTCATAATGCATTCTCAGCTTCATGTAATTAGAATTGTTTGTCTTCTGTGATACCTTCTATTCCTTGTTTGATCAAGAACTCTTTACCTGTCCTGTAGTTGAGAAAGGTATTTCCTTCTCTGCTATTCTAGTTTGTTTATGAGACCTTTTGTTGCTAAATCCTGTATCCATTGGTACTGTGAGGTGGTGGTCTAAACCTGATTTGTTAGACTGCATTCTCTTTTCCCCAGCAGTTTTTGTCAGATGGTGAGTCCATATTCCAGGATTTGGAGTCTTTAGATTTATTCAACACTATACTTCTGTGTTTAGTTGCCAGTTTGTGTGTGTGTGTGTGTGTGTGTGTGTGTGTGTGTGTGTGTGTACACCTAATCTGTACCACTGATCCGCTTTTTGATTTTATAACTAGTATTGGTTTTGCCTTTGGCTGCCATATCTCTCCACCTAGCTAAGAGAGCTTATGTTTGCTGAGATTGGTATTTAGTCTCTTTTGGTGTCTTCATCAGGGGGACTGATTTACATTAATTAAAATGCCTTGGAAAATGTTGATATTTAATCCCTTTCCATTTTTAAGTGTCAGTAGATTGCCTAAACAGGTTAGGTTTGAATTGTTTTAATTCCATGTTATGTCTTCTCATTTGTATGCTTCTAATTTGGTATTTATTTACAAGGAGTCCAATATAAGATGACCACATCCCATGGGATGATGGATTTTCCTATATTTAGAAGTATGATAAAAGGGCTTCTTATTTGCCTGTCCAAAGTAAAAAACCTGTGAGCCATCCTTCTGCTTGGTAACAATTTCATTTTGTCTTGTTATTTCATGTGTAATGAGAGTGTCAAGATTGATGAAATAGAATTTGTCTAGCAGTATCTGTGCTCTGTAGTTACTGGCCATGAGTCTCACATTTGGAGTACCAACAACTAAGTTAGCATTTATAGATAACTAAGAACTGTGATGCTTCGTATTCTTACTGCCTGTATCCCAAAAGTTTTATTTATGCCTTTTGTTTTTATACCAAAGCCATTTCTCTGTATCTCCCATGTATCCTACTGAAACCATTTTGGTAACCAGGAAAAACAGTTGAGCAAAGCGTAATTGACATAGTGATTTCTTCTGACAGTGTATACAATATTTTGTACCCATTGACCCCCCACTCTCTCTAAGCAGGAGAGAAATAAATTTTAGTGATGTACAACTAGGATTGTTGACTGTCACAGTTTTGATTTCCTTTCATATTGTGTTATTTACCTCCTGGATCAAATAAAAAGTCCTTCCTTCATCATTAAAGCTCTGTGCAACTTAGCCCCTGCCTCCATTTCTAAGCTTGACACCTGACAGTGTATTTAGTCTGTGATCCAGCCATACTGGCCATCTTGGTATTCCTTGCCCCTCCCATTTCTGTACCTTTGTATGGGCATGTGCTTAGAATGCTCTGTTTCCTCACTTTGGCCTCTTTGTGTTGTCTTCCCCTGTTAGAGTGTAAGCTCCTTGAAGGCAGGTCTTACTTTTGTGTTATATCCTTAGCACATGATAAGTGCTCAATAAATACCTGTTCATTCATTTTCTAGAATTGATAGCTTCGTTCATGATTTGGCCTAAAGGCTACTTTTTGTAGGAGTCATTTTATGGTTTTCTTTATTTCTTGGATTGCTCTGGTCGAAGAATTCGTCCCAGAGTGGCCAGAGTACAGAGCTTTTCTGTACTTAGGTAGGCTGGTCTTGAAAAAGCAGACATTGTCTTTTGCTAGGACTTTGGAAATTTTTTTAGCGTGATAATGTGCTAAAACTCGCATTTTGCATTTGAACCCAGAATCACGACCATGCTAGAATGAGGTATCTCAGTAGGATTTTATGGAGGCTTGTCTCTTCATCATGCCATCATCAGATACAAACAGTAAATATTTTGTACTCTTTCTTCCTCAAGGTGACAAATCCTGAAACTATGAAATAACTTACCTAGGCAGGAATGGCAAATTCAATAAATAGCAAGAGTGATTAGGGGAAAAAAAAGTATATCTTGAATTAGATGAATAATTAGTTATAGGATCATAGGTTTAGAATTAGAATCGGCTTTTAGTCCCACTACCTTGTCCCCAAAGAATACCAGCCCTGTCATTAGTTCTTTTATGTCCTAGGATGAGTTGTTTATCCTCTGAGCTTTCATTTCCAAGAGATGGGGGCATAATGTGAGGACCACTGGACTTGGAATGACTCAGATTCTTTCCCAGCTCCAGTCCTTCTGGCTTACATGATGGTAAGTCACTGAACCTTTCTGTACCTCAATTCCTTCATCTGTAAAATGGAACCAGTGCTGTTTGTATTACCTCACAGACATATTGTTAGGAAAGGGCTTTGTAAACCTTAATACACTGTAAAAGTGGAAGTTACTGTTTCCCTTTATGTGCAGTGTGGGAGTTGGATCAGATGGTTTCTGAGAGTCTAAAAATCTCAGAAAGAATGTTTCATTTTTAGACTAATGCATTTGACTGCCAGTGAATTAGAAATATGCTGTTTGAAATTCTTCAACTGGCATGATTAGAGCTGTACACTAGCACGTCATTTTTTGCATTTATGCTCTGTCTAGCTGTTCTTGTCTGGTTTGGCAGTGTGAAGCAATTATAATAACAATAGCTAGCACTTTATATTACTTTAAGGTTTGCAAAGCACTTTATAAATATTATTTTAACCTTACAACAACCCTGGGAGGTAGGTGCTTTCATTTTACAGATGAGGAAACTGTGGCAGACAGAACTTAAGTGACTTGCCCAGGGTCACACAGCTAGTAAGTGTCTTGAGGTCAAATTTAAGTTCAAGTCTTCCTGACTCCAGGCCCATCACAGTAATTACTGGACCACCTAGCTTCCTTGGAATGTAAATATTTTTTCTGATCTTTAGTAGTTCTAATTTTGTGTAATTAATTTTGTGTAAGCATAGCCTTATTGGTTGATTGATTTCATTTGAAGTTCTAGACCAGCGCCTGGATAAGAGAGTGGATGAAATGATAGCTGCTGGGCTTTTGGAAGAGCTGAAAGACTTTCATAGGCGCTACAATCGTGAGAAAGTTGCTGAGAATTGGTGAGCATGTGGACACAGTACTTGGCCTTTCCATCCCTTTCAATTGTGTCTAAAAGTTAGTAGACCAAAAATTAGTTTCTGTCCATGTTATTGTTGGGCCTTATTCTGTTGCCTACTGGAAGAGGGTTATATCATGTGGCCCTGCTCAGACCACATCTGGATTTTTTTCAGTCCTGGTACCACATTTTAGGAAGAGTATTGACAGATTGGAGGTTCACCAGGATAATGAAAGAATTGGAGACTGCCATTTTAAGATTCCCCAAATGAACCTGAGGGTGTTCATCCAGAACAAGAGGATACTTGGGGGGACATGCTAGCTGCCTTCAAGTATTTGAAGAGGGTTAGACTTGTTCTTGATCCTGGATGGCCCAAGAGCAATGATGGGAAGTAGAGAGGCAGATTTAGGAATAACTAGATTTAAGGAATGATATCCTGATGATACTGTACCAAAGTGGATTGTGCAGACGCCAGAAGTAGTGGGGTCCTCATCAATGGATACAGCAGTGGCCTTCTGGCTGCTTGTTCAGGCTGCTTTAGAGGATGCTCCTATACAGGTGTTCAGCTAGACAGTCTCTGAGCTCTTTTTCAGCTCCTGAGTTTCTGTGATATTAAACTTTTAAGAGATTCTCAGGAATGTTTTTTAAGGGATGGGGGAAAAAAACCTCAATACAGAAAAATATACGGTTCAGGTTTTGCTTTTCTTTTCCCAGTCAGAACTACCAGCATGGCATCTTTCAGTCCATTGGCTTCAAGGAGTTCCATGAATACCTGATCAGTGATGACCAATGCAGTCCAGAAACCAGTAACCTCCTCCTTACGAAAGGTATGAAATTTCTTATTCAGTCCTGGGGAATCTTGGGTCAAGATTGATAGTACAAATACAAGCCTGGTAGCACAGGGTGAGAAGAAGTTAATAGCACAGCTCCCTCCTGTTTGGTGTTTTGAGCAAGTCCTTTCCTCAGAGCCTCTGATTCCATCCATTGCCCTTGACATTTCTCCAATCTGTCAAAGCAGCCATTTCCTTGGACCTGAGGGTTCTTAGGAGGGAGGTCTCCTTGAGCCTTAGTACAGCAGAGCTCAGATGTGCCTCCCTGCTGTCCAAGGGCTATCTAGTCTCTGAGCCTAAGTTCTGAGGCTTTGTTTAGCAGGACCTAAGGACATTGATGCTGGTTACTTGACTTATTCTACATTTTTTGCTTTCAGGTATTGAGGCTCTAAAACAAGTGACCAAGAGATATGCTCGGAAACAAAACAAATGGGTTAAAAATCGCTTCTTAAGTCGTAAGTTCCTTGTACCAGCCTTTGTATAGTCTTCTTTCGTACTGAAGAAGAGTTACTGCTATCCCTACTTTTATCTAACAACTCACTTCTAAAGCACTTGATTCTAAAGGTTTGTGTGTTTTCCTCACAACAATCCTATAAGAGGAGTGAGTGTGTGTGTGTGTGTGTGTGTGTGTGTGTGTCTGTGTGTGTGTGTGTGTGTGTGTGTGTGAGACATATGTAGATATATGATAAATACTATCCTCATTTTACTGATGATAAAACTGAGCCTCAGAGAGATTAGTGACTTGCTGTGGTCAAGAGCTACTAATTGTTAGAGCTGGGATTTGAACTTAAATATTGAGTCTCCTGATTCAGTCAGTCATTCAGTAAACATTTATTGAGTGCCTTCTATGTTCTAGGCAGTTTGCTAAGTTCTAGGGATACAAAAATACACTCCTTCCCCTCAAGGAATTTACGGTCTAATGGAAGAGACAGCAAGCAATCTATATATGGGATAAATAGATAATTATAAAAGAGGGAAGGCATTAAAATTAAGAGGGCTTGGGAGAGGTGTCCTGTAAAAGATGGGATTTCAGTTGGAGCTTAAAGGAAGCCAGGGAGGTCAGTAGGTGGACAAAAGGGAGGGAAAGCATTCAAGGTGTGAGGGACAGCCAGTGAAAATTTGCAGGGCTGAGGTCAGAATCAGTATGTGGTGGGGAGTAAGGTAGGAGTGAAGTTAGGTTATAATTAGGTTATAAAGGTTTTGAAGGTCAAACAGTATTTTGCTTTTGATCCTGTACTCAATAGGATGTATAGTTTATTGAGGGGGAGAGGAAAGGAGGGCATAATTATACCTATGCTTTAGGAACATCACTTTGGTGGCTGAATGGAAGATGTATTAGAGTGGAGAGAGGTTGAGGCAAGCAGACCCACCAGCAGCTATTACAGTAGTCCTGGCATGGATTGGGATGGGGAATGAAGGGGCGGGGGAATGCAGATAATGAGTTCTGTTTTGGACATATTAAGTTTAAGATGTCTACTACCCATCTTGCTTGACATTTCTGAAAGGGCTGTGTGAGATTGGTCAGCAGAGGGGTTGGATCAAGATGGGTAGATTTGAGAATCATCAGCATAGAGATGGTAATTAAATCTGTGGTTGCTGATGAGCTTACCAAGTTGTACAGAGGGAGGAGAGAAAAGGGCCCAGGACAGAACCCTTTTAGGACACCCATGGTTAGAAGGCATGATGTGGAGGAGCATACAGAGAAAGGAGCGGTAGGTAGGAGGTAGATAGGTGGAAAACCAGGAGAAAATTGTGTCCCAAAAACCTAGAGAAGAGAGGATCAAGAAGAGGGTGATCGACATTGGCAAAGGCTGCAGAGAGGTTGAGGACAATGAGAATTGATAAAAGGCCATTAGATTTGGCAACTAAGAGATCATTGGTACTTTTGGAAAGCCAGTTTGGCGAAATAAAGAGTCAGAAGCCAGATTGTAAGAAGAGAGTGAGAGGAAAGAAAGTGGAAGTGCTTTTTGTAGATGGTCTTTTCAAGGAGTTTAGCAATAAGGGTAGAAAACATATAGGACAATAGTTAGCAGGAATGGAAGGTTCAAGTGAAGATTTTGATTAGGTGCTAGAAATGATCATCAACCTCAGAGGAGGAGAGGTTGCGGAGTGATGGAGGTGGAAAGAGAACCTGGAAATGGCATGGGGAACTGGGAAATTCCTTGACCAGTGGGATGAGGGGAGTGAATGAAGGTGCAGTCAGTATTGGAAAGGATGAGGCTTTGTCATCAAGATGGAGCCAGGTCTTAGTAATAGCTAGGAGATTTAGGATAAAGGGAAGTTTATTGCCAATGGAATAGGCATTCCAGAGGGTACAGTGGAAGGGGTGATTGGTATTTGATTGGAACTTTGGGGTGGGGGAATGGGGAATGATTCCGAGTCCTTCACTCATTCCATTCCAGTGTACCACACCATCTACTGAGTTAGATGGGAGAGCCATTGTTGAAGTGATCAAAAGCTGTGTGGTATCATCTGGAGTCAGAAGAACTGGGTTCAAGTCATAGAATCATAGATCTCGAACTGGAAGGGACTTTAATGGCCATCTGGTCCAACTTCCATCATTTCATAGGTGAGGAACCTGAAGCCCAAGGCAGTTTAGGTGGCTTACCAAAGATGATGTAGATGAGAAGGAGCAGAGGCTTACTAGTCATGTCACCTTGTTCCAGTTTCTTTACCTCTTTAGATTGTCTCCTCCACTGTCAGATGGGCATAATACCTGAGGATCAAGTGAGACGGTGTATGCACATGTGAAGCATTTTCATTCTCTGGATCTCTTCCTCCCTTTGGTATCTCTAGGGAAAATATCTCACAGGTGAGGGTCTGTCTCTTCATCTGACAGAGATGAGCATTCTGCAGAAAGGTATAGGGAAGAGACAGGAAAATATGTACCTGGTATCAATTTAAGCTTTTAAAAACAACTTGTTACATAATTATTTTTACATCACCATCATTTCCAAATATGTCCTTTCTTCCCACCCAGCAAGCCTAAAACATAGAATAAAAAGGAAAGGGAGGAAAATCAGTAAAACTAATAACATCAACCAAGTCTGACAGTGTAGAAAAACTTCCATACCCATATAGTTCATCTCTTCAAAGAAGGGAGGTGCATTTTCTTATCTTTTCTTCAAGGTTAAGAGCTTGGTTATTATTATGCTGTGTTCAGTGTTATGAGGATTTGGAGTTGCTGTAATTTTTCCCATTTATGTTATTGTCATTATGTATTTCTGCTTATGTCATTTTGCCTTAGTTTCTGTAATTCTGATGCCTCTGAATTCTTCAAATTCATTTATTATAGAGCAGTATAATATTCCTTTGTATTTGTGTACCACACCTTGTTTAGCCACTTTCCAATCTGTAGGCATCATTTTGTTTCCACTTCTTTACTATAGAAAGAGCTGTTACAAATATGTTGGTGCCTCTGGGCCATTTCTTTTTATCATTGACATCTTTGGTCTGAGGTATGAGGAAGCGGGAAGTAGTGGACAGCTAGGGATGATAAAGAACTGACCCAGAAATCAGGATGAGTTGGGTTCAGATCCCACCTCTGACAGATGGGGCCTGTGACTCTGGTCAAGTGCCTTAACCTATCAATTCTCCAAGCCTTACTCTTAAGACAGGAGTTTGCAGAGAAAGTGTCAACCTGTATTGGGAGGACAGTTTTCTCATCCAGTTGTTTTCTGTGTCAGTGAAATTATAGGTCTATCCCCTGGTCCTCTTTTTGGGGATATATGGCTAGTAGTGGAATCTCTGGTTCAAAGGGGATGCACATTTTAGTTAATTTCTTAGCAAGATTCCAAATTGCTTTCTAAATTGTTGTACCAGTTCCTAGCTCTGCCAAGAGTATATTATTACTTTTCTTTCTACAACCCCTACAACACTGACCATTCCCATCTTCTGTCATCTTTGCCAATTTGCTAGATGTGAATTGACACCTCAGAGTTAATTTTTAATTTGCATTTTTGTTATTAATGATTTGGCACAATCTTTGTGGTTGTTAATAGTTTATGATTTGTCTTTTGAGAGCTCTTTGTTCATATCCTATGGAAGTAAAATCTTCGTCTCATGTCAGACCCTTATCAGAAATGTTTGATGAAAAGATTTTTTTCCCCTAGTTAATAACCTTTCCTTCTTTTTGTAGGTGCATTAATTTTATTAGTGCAAAAGATCCTCAATTTAACGTAATCACATTTTAAGCTTAAAAAGGTTTATTACTCTATAATAAGAGTTCTTAACCTTTTTTTTGTGTTGTGGTCCCCTTTGCTGTCAGGTGAAAGGAAACTTTTCAGAATATTTTTAAATGCATAAAATAAATTATTACAAAGGATACCAAGTATGTTGAAATAGTTATCAAAATATTTTTTAGAAAACAAGTTCCCAAACCCCCAAGTTAAGAACTCTTACCCTTTAACATTTCATCTTTGCCGAGTACTTAGTAAGATTACAAAACACCAAATTTAAGCTATCCAACTTTTGGAATCTGCTGTAGGTTTCCCCTTCCTCATTTGCACTGACACTAGGCCTTTTGAGTCTGTCTGGTGTTTAGGTAGCAAATTGTAGTTCTGTCAGCCACTCAGTTACCTGAACAGCTCAACATGGTGTGTCAGAAGGAGTAAGTCATATGGCTGTGGGCTGAAAGAAGCTTAGCGTGTTAGAAACCACCTTACGACTTGTGGGTGGGGGTGCCAGGGTAGCTTCTGGATAAATAACCTCTAACGTGCTCTTTGGCTTTAGGCAGTATGTTTTCTTATAGATGAAGACAGCTGAGGGAATGCCTTTTCATACAGCATGGATTCAACTTTCCTCTTAGCTCTGTCTGTTACAATTTCTTTTCCTTATAGACCCAGCCTACAACCTATTGCTCTCATTAGTTTTCCCTCCTTGGATTTTCTTAGAGCATTCTCCCTGGATTTTCTTTGCCCTTTCATATCATACCTATTTGTAATTGCCCTGTCTCTCTACAAATGCCTCCATTAGATCATAGGGTCTGGAGTACAGAAACTATGCCATTTTCCCTAGCAAGGAACACAGAGGGCCTAAATCCATCTGTATTTGAATCACCAGTATTAATAAACGTTAGTTTTATTTGCGGTATTATTTTGGACTACCTATGTTGCGGTGCCAGCATATCTTCTTTCCCTTTGAGCACATGTGCCTTGGTCTCCTAGGCGTTCTTTGGATCTGCCTAGTTCCGTAATTTCATCCATCCACAGACTGTCATTTGGCCCTTGATAGTTACACTGGACGCTCTCCTCTTTTTCTCTCTTTCATTGCTTGTCCAGTCAGGCAGGAGAAACGTGATCGTCAGCCAAGATGAAAACTTGGTATACCACAAACTCCTGATGTATCTTCTCTTCCCCCAGTCCTCTTGACTTCCTGAAATAAGTGTTTTCTAACAGACAACACTTTGCATTGTTAGAACTTTGTAATCTTGAAAAGCCACAGAATTCTGGCCCCGCCCTCACTCGCCAGAAACATATGGAGTTGATGGCGATAGCATGTCATATATCTGCCTCTCCTGCACACAGACACATGCAGTGCTGGAGTGAAAGGCACAGCCGCTTTCCAGATCAGGAGCCCATCCTACTGGCTTGGGCCTCTTCTGCTGGGGAGACATCACTTTGGCGGGAAGCCAGAGGGACTTCCCCAGTCGAGCTCAGCCTTGGATTAGATCCATCAACAGCAGCTGGGAGCTGAGCACTTGTGGAAAGGGGCTGAGGGCGGATACAGAAGCCTAACAAAGGGCTTGGAGGAGAGGAGAGTGTAGAGTGGCCCTGAAACAGGTGCAGAGCTTACCCCAAGCCAGGTGGACTGTGGACACTGCCCTTACCTCCCAGTCTCACCTTTCCTTAGGAGGGCAGGTGGAGGGCAGGTGCAGCTCAGGCTTCTCTCTGAAGAAGCTCATTTGTGGTGGGCACAGTGAAAAGGCCAGCACCTGCCAGCCGTTGGCACACTGTGGCCTTTGATGTTTTTGTCCGAGTCTTGATGCTCTTTGCCTGTCTGCAACTGAATCATGCCAGGATGCCTGCCTGCACCTCTCTTAATGGTAAGGTGCCTCAGTCTCCATTAGTAGTAAACTTTTACTGGTCTTTGGGCATGGGTGTTTTTAACATAAAAATGGAGGCATACTTTCTGCCACTCCAAGTCCTAATTGCATTTTTTATTAAATGCCTACTGTGTGCAGAGCCCTCTGCCAAGTGCAATGGGATATTCAAAGACCCTCGCTCTGACGAGAATTATAGGGTAATAGTAGGCTGAGAGTTCGAGATAACTGGTAAGTGCAATAGAGAGGTACAAACATTGGTCTGTGAGGTCTTTAAGGATGTGTTAGTTGACATTGAAAACTTTGTAGAGCAGGTATTACATGGGTCAGGATTTAAAGGATTGGTGTGGATTTAACAGAAGGAGAGAGAGAGAGAAGGAGGGAGAACATTCCAGGCCTAGGGAAGTACCTGAGCAAAAAGATGGTCACTCTTTAAGCATTTATTAAGCACCAACTATGGCGGCTAGAGGGCTGGGGCCTAGATCAGGAAGACTTATCTTCCTGAGTTCACCTCTGGCCTCAAATACTTTAATACCCGTGTGACCTGGGCAAGTCACTTAGCCTTTTGGCCTCAGTCTCCTCATCTTTAAAATGAAGCGAAGGAAATGGCAAACTACTCTAGTATCTCTGCCAAGAAAACCCCAAAATGGGGTCAAGAAGAGACAGACACACAACTGAGCAGCAGCAAGTGATGTGCCAGGCACTGGCCTAAATGGGAATACAAAGACACTGATGTAAGAAAACTCAAGGCACACAGGGAGACCAGCGGTCCATTCTGGCTGGTACCTGTACAAGTATAGAGAGAGAGAGAATAATATGAGATGAGGTTGGAAAGGTCAGGTTGTACCATATTCTGGGGGGCCTTAAATATCAGAGGAAGTATGAGCTTTGCTCCATGGGCAGTGGGAAATTTTTTGACGAGAAGTGATATAACTAGGTCTTTGCAAAAGTTTACTCCTAACCAAGATATGAAAGATAAATTGGAAGGTCTTGACATTAGAGACAGGAAGATCCTTTAGGATTGTAGTCCTGGCAGTAGACGTGCCTTTAATGTAACAATGGAGGTATGCTTTTTGCCACTTAAAGGGATTTTTGTAGCCATCCAGGTAGATGGTGATGAATGCTTCTTTGCTGAGGTAGAGATAGTGCACATTTAGGGTACAAGGTGTACTCAATAAGACTTTATCAGTAACTGCTGAGAGAGGAGGAAGAGGGGGCAGCTAAGTGGTGCAGTGGATAGAGCACCAGCACTGAAGTCAGGAGGACCTGAGTTCAAATGTGGCCTCAGACCAAACATTTGACACTTAACTAGCTGTGTGACCCTGGGCAAGTCACTTAACCCCAACTGCCTAAAAAAAACCCAAAAAAATAAAATAGGAAGAGAGGAGGAAGAGTCAAGAATAACCTCTGGGGAGAGAGGGTCACTGGCGGTGCCACAGACAAAATGGTATCTGAAAGGGGGGATAGGTTTAGGAGAATGAATAATAAGCAGGTTAGGGTTATCTTGAATTTGAGGTGCCACTGAGGCAGAAGCATCCTATCCGCAATTGAGTTATTCCACTCTGAACTTGGAAGAGAGTTCAGGACTGGAGATTTACATTTGGGAGTCATGTGCCTAGAGGTGGTAGTGGAAGGCATTCAGAAGTATTTTCCTGGGACTGTTTCTTATATATGCTCTGGTTCAGGGCTACAAGAGAAATATCTACTTCATCATAATAGCTCATATTGATATAGCATTTTTACATGCATTATCTTGTTGTCTCCATAATAGCCCTTTTGATATAAACAGAGCAAATAAAAGGGAAGTGACTGGCACAGAGTCAACGTGTCATAAGTGATGGATCTAGAATTCAAACCAGGTCTTCTCACTCTGAGTCTGGTGTTTTTTTTTTTCCCTCTGCTGTACACTGTCTTTGGCAGAAGAAGCTAATGGTATGTTTCCTGCTTTGGGGAGTTGGAAATTTCTCCCATGTGTGCGTATATTTAGCCACAGGTTTATTGAGGAGTGTCATTGCCCATTTCTTGGTCAATTTTCAGAGATCTTTTGCTTTGATGTCTCTTAGGAGTTAGGCAGCTGGAGTTACTGTCAGTCAGACTGTCTTGGACTTTATGTAGTTATTGTTATTGATGTTAAGATACCAAAAGTTCTTGGGACTATTCCCTTTGGCCTAGAGACAAGGTAGCATGTTTATCTTCAGGTGTGAATTGGATTCTGAACAGTGAAAGGTCGTCTCAGGAATTTTGGTATTATCAAACCACAGAACATTTGGAGCAAGGTTAGTTTGGTTTTGAACTCTGTCAACTAATGGTTTCTCTTTTTTGTCAGGCCCCGGACCCAATGTGCCCCCGATTTATGGTTTGGAGGTAACTGATGCCTTAAAATGGGAGGAGTCAGTTCTGGGACCTGCTCTGCAGATTGTGGGAAGCTTCATCCAGGTACCTTCGAAGTGCAGTACTGTCTGGTTAGGGTTCTAAGCACCTTTCCTTAGGAGAGATATTTGTTGCCATGAACCTGCCTCTAAGGCACCAAGCCTTGTTAACTTTTTTTTAATGCTTTCTCCATGCTTTTTTAGTTGTCACTTTCTAAGGTCTTTCTGAACCTTTCCTCATAGCCAAGAAGTATATTGTTACCCAAAGTATATATTGTCTGTGTCTTATTCTGTATCTGTAATCCATCACTTCTCTACTTAGAGGAGGGAGGCATATTTCTTTTTTTCTCTAAGGTAGGATCATAGGATTTATCTTTTTAATTTAAAATAAAAATAAGCATAATTTTTCATTGAGACAAAAAAAGATCTTTATACTTTTTTATAAGTCTCGCAAATTTTTTTTTTGTGGGGGGAGGAAAGGGGAATTTAATTTTGTTTTTTAACATTAACAAGTACTTATTTCTTCTCCCTCTCAGTTTTTTTTCCCCTGACCCCAAATTGAATGATAAAAAAGATAAATAAAACCCTCATAAAAATACGTATAGTCAAGCAAAACAAATTCTTAAACGTTGGCCACATTCAGAAAATGTATGTATCATTTAGCATTTTAAATCTACCATGGAGGGAAGGTATGTTTCGTATTCAGTAGTCTGAAATCAAGATTAGTCACTACATTAATCAGAGTTCAAGGTTGTTTTTCTTTACATTATTGGGGTCATTGTATAAATTGTTCCTTTGGTTCTACTTACTTCACTCTACATCGGTTCATAAAGGCATTCCCAAATTTTTCTACATTCTTCGTATTCATTATTTCTTAGTGTCTTAATATTCTGTTACTGTCCTGTACCACAGTTTGTTCAGCTATTTCCCACAGGATGGGAACCTACTTTGCCTCCAGTTCCTTTGTTAACACAAAAAAGATGCTGCTATGAATATTTTGGTATATATTGGATCTTTGCTTCCATCTTTGACTTCACTCTGGGAGCTTTGCCCGCCTGTGCTGCCGCTGCATCAGTGGGTATGGGTAGTTAGTTACTTTTCTAGTATAGTCCCAATTTGTTTTTCAGAACATTTGAACTCATTCATAGCTCTAGCAGTGGAGGTTGATTGTCCTAGGTTGTCTTCCTAGAGTCCCTCTCAAATGGGTCATCTCTGTCTTTTGTCATCTTTACAAATCTGGTTGTTCTGAGGAGAAACCTCAAAGTTGTCTTCATTTGCTTTCTCTCTTTAATGTTTGAGAGCATTCCTTTGTTTGATACCTTGCATTTCTCTTTTGAACACTGTTGGTTCATATCCTTTGACCATTTATCATTGACTCTCATTTGGTCGATGCCATTTTTCTTCTATATTTTTATTTGTTTCCTGTATTTTGCCAGAGGTATGTGCTGAGCTTCTCTCCCCGAGTTGATCACTTCTCTTATTCTAGCTGCATCAATTCTGTTTGTTTAAAAGCTTTAAAAAATTTATGTAATTGTCCATTTTATTGTGATGATATCAGTCTCTTATTTAAGAACAAAATGAAACATTACTTTGAAGCTTCATGTGGATAGAATTGTTTTAGATTTTGGCTTCTCAAGACACTTTCCATGTTTGCAAAGTTTATTGCCAGAAGGCTGCAAAGTTCAAGTACTATCTCCATTATACAGACTGGGAAATAAGCAGAGAGACACAGAGACTGTCTACAGTGATGCATTAGTCCTTTCTGTTCTACTAGGCTACCGCTGTGTGGCAAACTGGCTTGTGTGATTGGGAGTAAGTTATTTTTTCTGAGCCTCTGTTACCTTATCTGTAAAATGGGGATAATAATTAATATGCATATTACCACTTCTTTGACAGGCTTGTTGTGAGGAAGGTATTCTGTAAGCTGTGAAGCACTTTACAAATCAGAGCTGTTATCTCAGATAATTGAGAATAGCATTGAAATGTCTCAGTCAAATGCTTTTTTATTGATTTGCTTTCCCCAGGGCAGGCAACCTGTGGCCACTCCCATCAGATTGCAGTGTGATGTAACTGAGAATAAACGGAGTCATCACAGATGTGAACTATGTGATAGAATCATCATTGGCGACCGAGAATGGGCAGGTAAACCTAAGAAATGAATTGGGGGAGGGCTGTGGAAGAGTTCTGAGCTTGGGTATTTTGAAGACTTTTGGTAGAATAGTAGCTTCTGCTCATTGAAATCATTTCTGAAAATGGTAATTTGGTTCTAATGAAAACTGATTAAGTTAAAAGGAGACTTTCTGGGGGGAGCTGCTAATTCGTCTGGAATTTCAGAAAACTCAGTCACTTCATATTTGAGCTGATGTAGATATTATAGAGAGAGCAGCTTCTTCTGGTAATTTCCTGTGCATAATTTCATGAATAGCTTCTGGACAAGACCACAGACAAGACCATTGGACGGTTAATTCTACTCTCTCTGTAAACTCACAGTAATTCCATATTGAACTTAGCAAACCAGAATATACGTACACACTTCAAGCCCCATCTCTCTATAAGAAGTTGTACTTTTCATTTTAATGAAGTTATAGTCACAGGATGTCAGCCAGAAGACATAAGTTAGTTCACATACCTCATTTACATTTGGAGAGTACCCAGAGAGGGGTAAGGAGTAATGAGTTCTCCACTATTTGAGTGTTCATTTGGAGTCTGACTGAATAGTCAAAGCCTGTTTTAGAGAGGATTCCTGGCTAGGTCGAAGATGCCCTCTGGACTAGATCCCCCTTCGAGGTTATCTTCTAGCACAGATACTGTGTGACTAGGTACTACCCCAAGTTATCTTTCTAGTGCAGAAGACTTAAATTCATTTAAAGTTACTAGGGGTCTTTTTGCTATCTTAGTGGGAAAGCCATTTGACCTCCGTGGGTCTCAATTTTTCTTCTGTAAAATAAGAAGATTGGAATAGATAGACCCTTCCAGTCATACACAGTCAGTTGCCAGAGTTCACACAGCTCGGAAGTAGCAGACAAAGTGGAAACTTGAACTTGAGTCTTCCAGGCTCACTGCTGTTTCTGTTATACTACACTTTGATAGGTAGGGTTACTGGAAGATTTGGGAGCAGGAAATCTTCCATTACAACTACTTTCAAAATGTGAGAATAGTGAAATTTAGGTTCTATTTTGCCCATGTTGACTTGACTGAGTCGCTTGTTCTCTTATGTGGTAATTTAATAAATAAGTCTTCATTGTCAGAGAACAGGAATTGCCATATGGGGTCAGACCCTCTACTGTCTAGCAGGGCGTTCTGTTGCCAGTAGCAGTCCCAATTGTAATTGGTCTGTGGTGTTGGTAGGGGAAGAGAGAATACCGTATTGGTGCTAATAGAGGTAGCTCCTGAATACAGACCACCCTCTGAAAGTGAGATCTGCAAATCTGTACGTTTACACCTAAAAATATCACCAATTACAAGCCATATTCAGGTTTTACACAAGCCAGATTGGGAGGTGGAGGAAGAGAGAAGAATGTGGCTAATGTAGAAAACTCAGTTGTACCACCTGCAGAAAGTGCTTCTGGGATTGTCTCCATTCCTCTTATAGGAGCGCATTTGTGAGCCCTTGTGAGGGTGGGTTGTGTAAGACATTCTATAGCACCATCTGTCGATCCCCTTCTTTCTTCTCTTGTTGCCAGTGGAAAGAGAAGCCAGAACTCTGTGCTTTGCCGTAGGGCCTGGATTGCGAATGATGCTGACTGAACTTCCTAATCTTTTTTGCATTATGGATTTCTTTCAAACCATTACTAATGATTAGTTTGTGGTACCTGCACAGTGAAGTTGATCACTTGAACATATGTCTTTGTGCCTTCCCAGATGATCTTTCTTTGATAATGCACAGGCTGTTAAAAAATGTGGCTCCTTAAAACTAATTCTAGGGTGGAGATTGTCCCAGGAGAGAGGCCTGAGATGAGACCAGGTGATTACTGAGCCTTCTGCACTTGAGGCTTTCAGTGGGATCTCAGATCCCTGCTGTCTATTTTCTCCCTGGAAGGAGATTCATACTTGCCGTCTATTCAGGGGTACTGTTTATTTGGAGAACTCCAGCCCTGGATGGTTAGCTTGCTGGACACAGGGAGAAGGGACTATGCTTTTGGCTTTTGCTTGCCTGAACTAGAAATGGGGGTGAAAGGCCAGGAGTGGTAGACCCAGAGGTGCAGCACAGCTCCCTCTAACATGGCCAGAGGGTTCCAGGATGGCTCTCTGGAAAAGACATCCGCAGTCCTCCCAGCACTAGCAGATGACCCTTTTTCGTTGCTGAAAAGTGCTACTTTTGGTAGCTGATGGCTTGCCACAATTTGTAGTCCTGCCTTTTGGAGGGTTGAGATGTCCCTGGAAGAGGGAGGAAGAGCAGAGAGCCCTGGCTTTCTGAGAAGGGGCTCGATGAAGCCACATGAAAGCAGAGTAACAAATAGAGAAAGACATCAGGCTTGTTTTCTTGTTCATCTTGAGTAAGGAGTCCGGACACCCCCCACCCCTCACCCCCTCAGGTGGAGTTAGCCCTGTTGCTGCTGGAGGGAAAAAAGGATGGGAATGTTCTAGCCCCTCTAGAAAATCTTACTGAGGGCCTTTTGTTTTTCCTTCTGTCTTTGCCCCCAGCGCATACAAAGTCCAAGTCACACCTGTACCAGCTGAAGAAAAGAAGAAAATTGGACCCTGATGCTGTTGCCACCTCGCCAAGTCAAAGCCATTTCCCTGAACCTGATGAAAGAACTGCATGAGAGGGGTTCCCCAGGGCAGAGGGATGAGGGATTACATTTCCTATTTGAGAAGCCAGTGGCCAGCCAGGTCACAGGCTGACTGACCTCTGCGGCCAGAAAGCAATGCCTAGCACGGGAGAGGGAGGAGGGAAGGCAGTAAAGAGCAGGCCTTTCCAGAACTGCTGGGACCCTCTGGTGCAAAAGGCTTCAGAGTGGACTGTCTTCGTGGCCCTGGCTGTTCATGTCAGTCCCTCCACAGGGGGCTGGTAATAGAGGGCTGGGCGTTGGGGACAGAGGGGTGTTAGTACAATGACGACACCTCCAAAGCAGAGATTTGGCCAGGATAGTGACTGGGACACTCAGGCTTCCTAATTGGGAGTGTTTAAACATTCATTCATTCCTTCATTCATTCAGCAATTTGAGTGCCTCCTATGTATATCCAAGGCCCTATGGTGTCTTATTGTCAATTACAAAGTCATCTGAACCAATTTCTGGCCACATTTGACCATGGTTTTGGAAATCAGGCTGGAATCAGTGCAGTCAAGAAAATGTAAGCAAAGGCCAGGGAAATAGGGAAAATTTTGTATTCAGCAGGACTAGATGGGAAGGACCCAGGTCCTTGACTCTAAAGACTTGAATATGCATACTCATGCTGTGGGATGGTCGTCTCCTCTTCTCACTGAGAGCCTGGCTCCACAAGTTGAACAAAGGAAGAGCGACCAGATAATGCCAAATCCTCTGGTTTGTTCAGACATAGGATTATTTCCATAGCTGTCATGAACTGTTGGTAGTTGATATGATAGCCTCTTATGTGTGTCTGTTTAGGAATAAAATTAGTTATTATCACTGGACTTTCTGTTGTGCAGATATGGGAGCCTTATTCCTCCTGCATGGCATTTATTAAGCATCTATTGTGTGCAAAGGCTACAAAGGAAATACACATCGATGTATGGGACACAAAGCCTGTTCTTAACAGGGTTTGCTAAAGACGGCAAAGGGCTGTCAGCAGCACAGTGGGTGATATGTGAAGGAAGCCTTCCTGGAAGAGGTGGTACCTGAGTTGCACCTTGAAGGAAAAGAGAGGGATATCAGTTGATGAAGTCTGGGAGAATGGAGTTCATTTCAGATGTGGGAGTGGTATGAGCAAAGCTAAAGAGATGAGAGAGGGCAGGATGAGAACACGACCCACTGGGTAGTACACTGGAGACTTGAATGCTAGGATCAAGGGCTTTGGTGGTGGGGGGTATTATTTGATTTAAGCAAAGGAGAACCAGTGGTTTGGCTTAAGTGCAAAGTTATATCCATTTAAAACCTCTTTCAGGAGTGTGTTGAATTCCTTCCAGTCTTGAGTACATTTGGGAATGTCTTAAGGGCATAAGAAAAAGTTTATGTAGAGGCATAAGGTGGATGGAGAGTATGGACGGGCTGAATCTTTGTGTCCCTAGGGCCCATTGCAGTGTCTTGGCAGGAGTGGGTATTAAATAAAGGATTGTTGAATTGAGGAGGGGAGGGGGGGAAAAGCCTATTGAGATTCTGAGAAAGAAAATTGTGCCTGACTAATAGAAGCTTTCAGTGATTTATCCACCTTGGTTTTTTGAGTATTGAGCCATGACACTTGTTTTCAGCCCTCCAAGCAGCTCCATATCTTAGCCTCCCCTAGCTCCAGTGGAAGGTTTAAATGTCAGAGGCAAACCAAGCCTGTGCTCTGTGAAAGAGGGGAGAGCTTATCACTGGATCAGCCCTATCTGGTTCTTCATGTTAGAAATTGATTACATTTTCCTAACCAGTTTGGTAAATATTTCAGGATTCCCAAACTATGAACATTATGTCACGTGAAATTGTGACTGCTGGCCCATGGATTTTACCAAACTCGCAGAAAAGAGCCTTTGGGCCTGGAAATAGCTCTGGGCATGCTCCCTTATCTCCTGTTTTGGGGCAAGCAATAAGAAAAATAGTTGTTCTAATTCCTTTGGTGCTTGAAGGCTACAAGGTGCTTTCCTCACAATAACCCTGTAGAACAGTAGTAGCCCAAGTATTTATGTTATGTTGTATTATGAATTTAACTTGGGAATCTCCAGGGGTTCCTGTGTAAGGGTCTCTATCCTATTATATCGCTGATGTCGATATAGCAATTTATCTTTTATTATACCACATGCCTTTTTTCTCTTTTGATCCTGTCAGCAGTCATTGTATCCCTATTTTTCAGAGGGAAAATGAGACTATTCAATAAAATGAATACCTGAGCCCACACAGCTGCTAAATGACGAAATCAAAATTTGAACTCAGAACTTTTAACTTCAGATCAGGCAGGTTTCTTTTTCTTTTTTTTTTTTAATTAGATTTTATTTGTTTTCCATTCCAAATTGTCTCACTCCTTTTACCCATTGAGAAGACAAGAAAAACAAAACCCATTACAAATACGATATTAGCTATGTTCTACTACTGTCCTCTCCCATTCCCCCCCCCAAAAAAAAAGAATGAAAAGAAAAGATGCTTCAGTTGCTCTCTGAGTTTGTCAGCTCTCAGTCTAGAGGTGTATAGCATGTTTTATCCATGAGTCCATTGGAATTGTGATTGATCATTGTGTCAGTCAGTTACTAAGACTTTCAAAGTTGCGTTCATTTTTACGGTATCGGCACAATACAGATTGTTCTGATTCTATTCCTTCACTCTGGATTATTTCATATTAGTCTTCCCAGATGTCTTTGAAGCCAACACTGTCCTATGCCATCACATTCATGTACTTTAACTTGTTCAACCATTCCCCAGTTGATGGGCATCCCGCTCGTTTCCACTTCTCTACTAAATCAGCTCTCTTTGTCTGGAAGCCAGGCTGTAAAATAAGGTCAAGGCATTTACCCCTCCTCCTGGCACACTGTCATCCAGGCTCTCCATTTCCCCCGCTAATGTTATCTCCAGCCTGTCCCCACCCCCACCCGGGCTGGAGTGCCGCCGTCATCCACAGGGCCTCTGTCGGGAGGGTTTGGAGTGCAGCTGGGTCAGCCCTCATGGCCTGCAAAGGAGACTTACCCAAGGTCGCCCAGCTTTTATGAGTGATTCGAGTCCTTGACCAAATGCAGGACTCCTCCTGCTGCTCTACATTGCCTCCACATTCAGAGGCCAAGGCTTTACTTGAATTGCTGAATTTACTTGGTCTTTTAGAGTTCTTTTTTAAATGTGTTTTAGTGGGAGAACTGGAAAGACTCGTTCTAATAATCCTCTCTCAAACCCAAACCCTACGGTCTGAAAAACCTTTAGCAGTGGTGTCAGCTTTCTCAGGCAGGTGTGAGAGGTCCTGGACCAGGCCGTGGCAGTCAGGGGCCCAGGATCTGTGCTGTTGATAGCATTTGTGTGACTGGGGTTAAACCACAGCATTTCAGATCCAGAAGGGATGTGTGAGTTCAAAGCACAGCTTGGTGTAGAGGACCTGCTTCAGATGCAGCTGCCCTACTTCCTAGTGACCTCTGGGCCCTGGTCTGCTCATCTGTCAAATGAAGAGGTCTGGCTAGAGGACCTCTGAGGTCTCTTCCACCTCTAAATCTGTCATCTTGTGGCTTCTGCTGTGGGGGGCCCTAATCCATTCCACTTGGGATCACATCCAGTGGAGGTTGGCCTCAGCAGCTCCCTCCCTCCCCTCCTCTGTTACTCATTTTGCCCTCTGGGCCCAAGCAGAGCAAGGCTAATTTTTCAACTTTGTCTTTCAGATATTTAGAGAGGCTTTGTGTTCCCCCTTTTCTAGCCCCCAGTCCTCATGTCTTTTCCAGGCTAAACATTCCCAGTTGTAATGCATAGCCTCAAAGAGGGGAAGTCACTTGTCCCCAAGGTCACACGAGCTCATAGGAGGCTGCTTCCACTATATCAAGCTATATCTCTTAAGATGAAGCTTTGGGGGCAGACAGTGCCTTTGCCTAGGCTCCTCAGGCTCAATATTGCTCTCTAGAAAATCCCTTTTGAGCTCTATTCTTCCTCCAAAGGGCCTATTCTGCTGGCTCTGGGAGCCACAGGGAAAGGAAACAGTTTCACCAAATAGGAGCAAAGTTGTCAGGAGTCAGAAGCATAAAATTTTCAAGCTGGAAAGACGTTAAGGTAGCAGCTTTGGGCTGTTCTTATAGAGTGGAATGAGGATGAAGAATGCCATTTAGTACCATCTGTCTGTGAATCCCCAGACAAATGTAGCCCTTCCATCTGGGCTGCTAAGAGTCTCTGTGTCTATCACACCAGTCACTTTATCTAAATGGCTTTGGCCAAGAAGAAGGTCACTAATTACAATGGAATTAGAAAACCTTATGAGCACAGCTCTGTGCATGTCTCCATCAATTACAATCCCAAACACTCTGCCTGCCTTCCAAGTGGAGACAGCCTGCTTTGTTTGAACATGTAGTAGATACTTTGGCTCTGGAAAGAAAGCCCAGCTCCCTCCTTTTGTAACAGTTTAATTGAGCTTCAGGGGTGGTATGTGGGAGAACAGAGCTCTCAGAGCTAGGGCACTTGGATTGACCCTCCGGGAAACTTGGAATAATCACTTATGCTCCCTCGACCTCAGTCTAAAATGAAAGGGGGGCAAGGAGTAAGGGGGCTGAGAAACTATAAGCTTTAGAGCCCAAAAGAACCTTAGTGATTGTCTAAAACCTTTTTTAGAAAAGGAAACTGAGCCAAGAGAGGGAAAGGGACTTAAGGGTACATGGCAAGTGGCAGAACTGGCATATGAACCCATCTCTTAGGATTTCAAATCTAGGACCCTTTCCCTTCTCATCTTTATCTTAGGAACACTCTAGTCCTGACTTTGAAATAACTCGTCCAAGAAAAAATATTTTTGAAGCAAGCGGCAAAGTGTTATTGGGGAAGGACAGTCTGGGAGCTGGGGAGGTGGTACATGAGAGGGAATCTGTACCTAGTTGCTACTGTCCCTTTGGAGTAGATGTTGGGTAGAGGGGGACATGTGGATATGAGAAACGCAGCTGTTTTGCCCCTTTCTGTTTAGTTTAACAGCTGGTTCATGGTACTGCCGTCCTCAAGCTTCTACCTAAGAGAAAGATTCCCAAGCCAGGAGGTAAGAGTTGGTCTTGCTCAGCTGCCCTGAAGGAAGCAGGCAGCAAGCTGGGATAGCATGTCAATGAGTGATGGGCACATGTGTGAAGACACATGGCAGCTGCAAGATACAAACCCAGAGTTACTCTGGATTAGTGTCAGGGAGTTGAAACCTTAATATTTGGTCTTGAGATTGGATTTGGCCTTTGGAAACTGGGGTGGGGCCAGTGTCGTGCAGGGAGCCCTCCCACAGCGTCAGAATTTCATTAAGAAGCCTCAGCTGTTCTGTGTCTGAGGATGGGGTAGGGGGAGGGGAGTACTTGGAGTTTTTTCTCCCTTAACTGTACTTAACTGGTTTCCATTGACATTCTGCTAGGCTTATGATGGTGTGGCTAGGCCCCTGGGTACTCAAAAGTTGTACCAATGAAGCTCAGCCTTCCTAGGCTGAAAGAATTTAAA